CATATGCGTGTACATGTTCTGTATGCATTATCATCTCAACAATACTAAACACTGGTAAAACATAGTAACGCCAATGGAAGAGACTATATAGAGCTTTCAAGATAAAACAGCATACTGACAAACTGATCGCAATGACACAGCAAATAGAGAGAGGGGGAGGAGGGAGGGTTAGAGAGAAAGGGAAGGAGGGAGAGAAAGAGAAAGGGGGGAAGGTAGGGAGGGAGGAGAGAGAGAGAGGGATGGAGGGAGGAAGAGAGAGAGAGGGTGAGAATGAGAGAGAAAAGAGAGAGAGAGGGTGAGAAAAAAAGAGAAGGTAAGGCATAGAGAAAGAGAGATAGTGAGTGAGGAGCAGAGAGAGAGAGAGAGAGGAAAAAAGGGGAAGAGAGAGAGATAGAAAGGGAGAAGAAAGAAAAAAGAGAAGGAGAGACAAAAATAGATAGATAAAGAGATGAAGAAAGACAAAGACAGGGAGAGTGAGAGAGAGAAAAAAAAAATAAACAGCTAGAGAGAGAAACCAAAGACAAAAAATAAATAAATAAATCAAAAAGAGAAACAAAGAAATCAGAGAAATATACATCAAGATACAATCAGGAAGCAAGAAACTGAACTAACATTTTGACGGGTGAAGGCGGGCCAGTCTGTGTACACTGCTTCAACAGTCGCTTTCAAATTCCGTAAATTGTTGATCGTCGCTTGAAAAAGAGTCACAGCACTGCTTCTGATCTGCAATACAGGGAGTAAAGTACAGGTTACAGGACGCGGTTTATAGGATATAGGTTATGGGTTACATATCTCTGCTATCAGATACGGGTTACAAAATGCAGGTTATAGGATACAGGTCACAGGGCGTAGGTTATAAGATACAAGTTATGAAATACAGTTACAGGAAACAGGTTACAGGACACAGATTATAAGATACAGGTTATGGGATACATATTTCTGCTATCAGATACGGGTTACAAAATGCAGGTTATAGGATACAGGTCACAGGGCGTAGGTTATAAGATACAGGTTATGAAATACAGTTACAGGATACAGGTTATAAGAATTATGCTATCAGATGCGGGTTACAAAACAGGAGGTTTTAGGTTATAGATACAGGTTACAGGACGTAGGTTATAGGATACGTTACTAGGAGGATACAGGACAGGACTAGGTTATAGGATACAGGTTATTTCTGCTATCAGATAGGTTACAAATGCAGGTATAGGATACAGGTCACAGGGCGTAGGTTATAAGATACAGGTTATGAAATACAGTTACAGGATACAGGTTATAAGAATTATGCTATCAGATGCGGGTTACAAACACGTTAGGTCATACAGGTTACAGGACGTAGGTTATAGGATACAGGTTACAGGATCTAGGTTATAGGATACAGGGTATAAGATTTATGCTATCAGATGCGGGTTACTAATTGCAGGTTATAGGATACAGGTTACAGGAAGTAGGTTATAAGATACAGGTTATGAAATACAGTTACAGGATACAGGTTATAAGAATTATGCTATCAGATACAGGTTACAAAATGCAGGTTATAAGATACAGGTTACAGGACGTAGGTTATAAGATACAGGTTACAGGACGTAGGTTATAAGATACAGGTTATGAAATACAGTCACAGGATACAGGTTATGAAATACAAGTTCTAAGATTTATGCTATCAGATGCGGGTTACAAAATGCAGGTTAGAGGATACAGGTTACACGGCATAGGTTATAGGATGCAGGTTATAAGGTATATGTTGTCAGATACGGGTTACAAAACGCAGGTTGTAAGACAGGTTACAGGGTGCATTTTATAAGATACAGACTCTTTGATACTGATAACGATATAATGGAAGTTGTATTATCATTGTTTTTTTTATAGAAATGAAGCAATTTAACACACGGAAATAAGCTAAATAAATATGATTAATCATGTCATTGATGATATCACGTTATGTTACTAGAAACAGAATATACAGAAATTATACAAATAGTGTATGAAAAATTTACAAATAGTGTACGAAAATTCTACAAATAGAGTACGAAATTTCTACAAATAGAGTGTACGGAATTTCTACAAATACAGCGTACGGAAATTTTACAAATAGAGAACGAAAATTCTACAAATAGGGTACGGAATTTCTACAAATAGTGTACGAAAATTCAACAAAGAAAAAATCTACGTGCCTTTTTTTCTTTCTTTCTTACTTTCTTTCTTAATTTCTTTTCTTTTTTTTCTTTTTTTTTTACTGAAAACAACTTTTATCAGACACTTGCCTTGTTTAGTGTCTCCCTGCCATCCACTTCTCGGTTCTTCCACTCAAATTCGTTGTCTAAGTAATCCTGGAGGAGGGAAGTCAGTATGTTGTTATTGAAGTAAATGCGAAGGTGAAACTATGTGGAATTTATGTGCTAGTTGCTTTGTTTATATATTATATATTAAACACGTCAGATGTGTGGGGGTGGGGTGTGTTTATGTGTGTGTGTGTGTGTGTGTGGTGCTATGGGGGGGG